CATTTGGTTGTCCCTGCTATATTTTAAATACTCGAGATCAACTGGGAAAGTTTGATTCTAAATCTGACAAGGGAATTTTTCTTGGGTATTATGTCAAAGGACAAGCCTTTAGAGTGTACAAAACTCGTACTCAAAAGGTGGAAGAATCGGTTCATGTTCGATTCAATGACATCACCTCTGAGAAATCAGATTCTAGTCCTTTGACGTTTGACTTGTCTGAATTATTCTCAAAGTTTGATAAAGTTTCAGATATAGAGCAGGAGGCTAGTGACAGCATGCAGAACAACTCTGGAAACCCTCCTTCTTCTATGCCAGATGATACAGATAATCAAAACTCCTTAGATACTATCATTGCTGCTCCTCCACACATTCAGAAGCGTCACCCTACTACTCAAGTCATTGGGGATATCAATGGTGGTCTCAAACCTAGAGGTAAGTACATACCTGGACAATATGCCTATGTGTCACAAATAGAACCTAAGTCTTACAAGACTGCTTTAGGAGATGATGCATGGTTTCTGGCAATGGTTGAAGAACTCTCTTAGTTTGCTCATCTGCATGTTTGAGATTTGGTACCAAGACCTTTGAACGTAACTGTTATAGGCACTAAATGGGTTTTTAGGAATAAAACTGATGAGATAGGCATTATCATTCGTAATAAAGCTAGATTGGTTGCTCAAGGATACTCTCAGGAAGAAGGTATTGACTATGATGAGACGTTTGCCCCTGTTGCACGTCTTGAATCAATTCATCTTCTTTGTGCTTATGCTTCATTTTTGGGATTTCCATTATTCCAAATGGATGTTAAAAGCGCTTTTTTAAACGGAGTTATTGAGTAGGATGTGTATGTTGCTCAACCTCCAGGTTTTGTCGATCCCAAGTATCCTGATCACGTTTTTAAATTGAATAAGGCTTTGTATGGTCTCAAACAAGCTCCTCGAGCTTGGTATGATCGCCTTACTACCTTCCTTTGTGATCAAGGGTTCATTCAAGGATCAGTTGACAAAACTCTTTTTACCAAACATGTCTCATCGGATTTTCTGCTTGTTCGGATTTATGTAGATGATATAGTTTTCGGTTCTACCAATACTAGTCTTTGTTCCTCGTTCTGTGAGTCTATGCAAAGTGTTTTCGAGATGAGTCTGATGGGGGAACTTAAGTTTTTTCTTGGTCTCCAGATTCAACAAACCCCTGCTGGTACTTTTATTCATCAGTCCAAATATGTGTCCAACATGCTCAGTAAATTCGATATGACTGCTGTTAATCCCAGTCCTACGCCTATGGCGACTAATGTAAAACTGGACAAAGGCGAGGCTAGTATACCTGTCAATGAATCTTTGTATCGTGGCATGATCGGATCTCTTTTATATCTTACTGCCAGTCGTCCTGACATCCAATTTGTTGTCTGCCTGTGTGCTCGTTTTCAATCTCAGCCTAAACAAAGTCATTTATCGGCGGTAAAAACGCATTTTTCGATATCTGAAAGGTACTATAGATATAGGGCTTTGGTACGCGAAGCAAGATCAGTTTGATCTAGTTGGATATACCGATGCTGATTTTGCTGGGAGCTTAATAGATAGGAAGAGTACATCTGGTAGTTGTCAATTCGTAGGTACTTCATTGGTTTCATGGTCTTGTAAAAAGCAAGCAGCTGTTGCCTTATCTACTGCTGAGGCAGAATACCTTGCTGCCGGTAGCTCTTGTGCACAGCTTCTCTGGCTTAAAACTCAACTTGCTGACTATGGTATGGCTGTTTCCTCTATTCCTTTGTTTTGCGACAATACGAGCATCATATGCATGTCCAAAAATCCTGTCCAGCATTCTAGAACGAAGCATATTGACATTAAGTATAATTTCATTAGGGAATTGGTTCAGGCAGAGACTATTGTGCTTTCATATATTTCATCAGAGTTTCAACTTGCTGACTTGTTTACCAAGCCATTGTCTGCAGATCGTTTTCATTTCCTTAGTTATGAGATTGGCTTGCGATCCCATTCCTCTCTGACAGAGGTAATTGGAGATCTTGCCTCTTAATTGGTTCTTACCTTTTTTTTTCTTTTCGTTTCTGCTGTGTTTTCTTAGCATTTTCGTTCCTGTTTTTCTCCTTTTTTGGATGGCTTTTATTATTGATTTCGATTTTTTAGTCTGGTTCTTATAGTAAGTTTCTGTCTTAGGGTTTTGTCGGTTGAGTATTTATACGTGTGTTTTCTGTATCCTTTCGATTATCCTTGAGTGTTTTGTCTTCCTTTCTGTAGTAGTAGCCATGGTTTTGCCCTTCCTTAGCACGTTCACTGGCACTCTGTTTTTAGATCCTATTCCTGCCAATGCCCATCGTCATGATCTGTTTTTTGCCAATCGAGAGGTTCTTCCATCATATCATGTTCAGCTTCCTGATCTGATTGAAGTTGGACTTGATGTGCGTCCTTTCATTCAAAATCTTGGATGGACCTTTTTGTTGGATCATCCTTTTTCCTCTGTCATTTGTCCTGATGCTGTGCGCTTCTTTTATTCAAATCTTTGATTTACACAGCTCAGCTCTCGTTTTTTCACCACCCTGGTTTTTGGAAATCTTCTCACTATTCCCGTGGCTGAAGTTGAACGTTCTCTTCACATCCCTGCCATTGGTGAGAATTTTGCTGATGCCTCTGAGCTGGAACTTTTTAATTTTGATATTTCGGCTGAGTTCCGCCAGCTTACAGGCCAGTTTCCTGGTCCAAATCTTTCCTTGCCTGTCTCGGCTCTTCTGCCCTCTCTTCGAGCTCTTCACTTTTTCATATCCCGTGTGTTTTTGCCTCGTTCTGGTAACTTAAAACTGATTACCCCTGTGGAGCTTTGGATTCTGGTTCATGCTGCTCATGGTGTTCCTCTCAGTTATGCTGACCTCTTCTTTGGCCATGCTCTTTCCTATTGCGATGTGAATGTCACTTCCCCCCTTCCCTTTGGTCCGCTCATCACCACCCTTCTGTTGCGCATTCGTGTCAATCTTCATCCCTTCCGCTTCATCACTCCCTCTATCTTTCTTACCGCCAACGATGTCATGGATCTTCTGGAAATAGTAGTTGAGGGGGAGAATGACGACGACAACGTTGTTATTCTTAGTAGCGGCAGCGATTCCGATGACTCTCCATCAACTGACGGTGATGATGTCCCAGAACTGGCTCCTTTTGCAGCAGCACTTCAAGCTCTTTATGCCTCTGATTCTGATGGTGAAGTTGCTCAATCTCAGGGGGAGCAGTAGGCTTTATGAACTGATCGGGATTTGTTTTGTGGATTGAATAATGTTTTTTTTTTTGTGCAAGGATTTTGAGGGAGTTGATTTGCTGATTGGTTTGCCTGGCCAGGCTGTGGTCTTTGATTTCCTTTCTGGATGATTGGATGTTTACCTAGTTTAATGTATGACGTTTTTGTTGGTTCTATGAATGTCTGATGCAAATGATCTTGTGAATGTCTGCTGCATATGTTGTCTTGGAGAAAATTCTTGTGTTCTGTTTTGCAGGATTCATTAGCAACTTGCTATTTCCAACTTAGGGAGAGATTGTTGAAAGATGGAAAGTTGGAAATCAAGCAAATCAAAGATACATTGGCGGTAATCAAGCAAATCAAACGGACACTGGTGCCAGCTTACCCTTTCTGGAGAAATTCAAAGGCAGCGGTCTTCTTCAAAGCTGCTATATAATCTTCCTCGGAGTAATCAAGCATGGTACTTGGTTAGAAGCGGTACAGGGCTGTCTACTTAGTGGGCTAATATGAATAGAGGAATAGGATCTGTTGAATTGGCGGAATAGAGGAATAGTGGTCTTCTTCAAAGCTGCTTTTCTCTTCCCCTGTTCTGTCTCTGTTCTTCAGCCGAAAATGTTCACTTGCAAGAAAGAAGACGATCTCGTCTCTAACTGCAAGTAATATTGAAGTGGGCCTATTTTATTTTAGTTTGGTCTGTTTCTTTTGCAGGCTTAGAAGTATTTGGGCCCAGTCTCGGAGAGAAACAGAGCTCGAGGCAAAGAACGAAATTTTCATTCCAATTCTGGTTGCCTTGCTCTTCGATCTCCTTTTTCCCCAAATCCTCTAAGAACCCTAATTTATCCTTTAATTTCCTCTAATAATTTCTCCCAACAGAAGCTTCCCACATTCAATTCTAGATGGCGGCGGGGACATTGGCGACCACCAATGGAGTAGTTGTGGGTTGTACTACCTATTGAGCGAAAGATTGGCGACCAACCGTGGAGAAGGGAAAGGGAATAAATTCATATGGAATTAGATCTCAATACTTTTTCTCGGACAAACAGAATTTTCAAGTTTGCTTATTTGGGAGAAATGGATTGGGTTTCCGGCCAAAAGGGTCACAGATTGGGGTTCTGAAAGAGAGAAGCAGCTGATTTTGAAGTGGTCTCTAGATCTGAGTAGCCTAGTCGGAGAACAGAGGAAGATGAAGAAGATAGGGAAGGAGAAGAATTGAGATTTAGAGGGTAAAATCTTTTCAATTTTTTATGGAAAACCCATATGCAATTCCAAACAAGAGATTTGGGAATCTCTGATGCTAAATAGCTTGTTTTTTAAGTGAAAGATTTGGATCAAATCCCCTAAACAATCCCTCATGGTCAAATCTTTTATCCAAACAATCCTAAATTAATTGTGATGTTGTGATGAGGTACAAGGAAAACCCATAAATCTAGAGCCTTGAAATTGAAAAAAGAAAGCATAATTACTTATAAGCTAATTCGACTTTTATTGAACTTTTCATTGAATAGGAAGCTAGCTAGATTCCCTATTTTACCAAAAAAGATAAGTGGAAATACAAAGAAATACTCTACTAAATAATAACCTGTAACTATTGAGAAACCAATAAATATTGGAGGCACCCAAATTATTTATTTAGTTGCAGAAAAATTAGTCTCTTTTTCTTAATTTAATTCGGTTAGCGGAGGATCATTATAATGATAGCAAAAGTCGTAGCATGCGCAAGTATGCTGCTCACATCGTCCAGCAACGACTATTCCAACACCTCCAAACATGTTGTTGCATGCAGTGTCGCATATTGAGTCCTTGCAACCACCACCTCGGATATGCAAAAATCTTTGAGGAAAAGAAGTGAACTTGTCGCAAAAATCCATCTTCGGCCCAAATTCGTGACTACGGAATGCTACAACCTCGTTCCCTAATTTTATTGCAAACATTTATCACATATGAAATCAAACCACCTTAATTTTTGTTAAGACAAGACATTTATACTAAGTACATCAAAATGAAACTTGCGACATGAAACCATAAAAATATCGATAATTACCATGGAAGAGACAAATAAGAAGAAGTATGAAAATAATCGCCCATGACAACCTTTTCATCATGGATGATTTCTCACTAATTTTGTTTTTCTAGTGGCTTTTTGTTGGAAGTAAAGTGATATGTTAGCTAGAGCATCAACTTCTATCTTACATATATATAAGGAGATTCATAACATACTTTCTTGATTTATTCAGATTCTAACTTGTACATAATTATAGGCAGGAAGCGATTTTTGTTAAATTCTTATCGCAACCGTGTGACTATTACAATCCATAAATCTCGGTCATTTCCTTAATTATTTGACTATTTGGATTTTTAAACAATTAGTTCAACCCCCTTCTTTAATGGCCTTTTTCTAGTTTTCAGTTAATGCAGCAAATAATTGCGTTCTTAATGACTATTATTTATTGAAATTCTATTCACATTACCTATAAAGTTATATCAATGTATTAGTTGAATGCATATAATCACTACAAAATAAAAAGTTTATGGCAAGGGTTATTTTCACCTGTAGCAAGGGTTTTAACCCCTGCTACAGGATGTAGCAAGGGTATTCATAACCCTTGGGCGGACCCTTGACAAAGCCGTCCCTGCTACGTGTAGCAAGAGTTATAAGCGACCCTTGGTGCAAGTCATTTGCAGCGGTTGTAGCAAGGGTTTAAACCCTTGCTATACATCTGTGTAAAATTTAAGTAAAAGCCACTAGTAACATGGGTTAGAACCCTTGGATAATCCGTTCCTACATCTAACAAGGGTTTGAACCCTTGGTACACACCTATGTAAATTTATGGAAAATTGCTTCAAGAATGTGCTACTTGCAAGGGTTTAGTTTGTGACGAAAACTGAAAAACATTTTGTGGCAAAATCAAAATGGTTGCTAAAATTTGTCACTAAATAGATGCAACATTAGTAGTGACAATAGATTGGTTGCAAATACCCTGGTTGCAATACCCTTCATATCATGAATCATAACATATATGATTCATTATCCAAAATGATGTTCTTTACATGACTAAATACTAATCATCATAAATAGATCATTTCCAAAATGCTTCATACGACATTCGATCACAAAGCTCGAGATCCCATTAATGGAGCAGGAGCACTAGTGGTACCGTGTTCATAAAATGAAAAGACAACCATATAAAAAGATAGCCATGAACACATAATTTCCTGCACCAAAATTACCATGAACATAGACAATTGTTGTAGTTCCAGTTATTCTTGCTGTGACATATGACTGATAATGATTTAAGCAACTGTGGCACAGCCTAAGCTAAAGAACAATGCTTCTTAATCATAAAGCATACCAATAAATACGCATGTTTTGTTACTAAACAAATTTCAAGCAACCTTTGCTTTGATGAGAGTATTAAATCTTAACACAACAGCCACTCATAACTAAATTTGGCCCAAATGACAAAGTTCCCTATAATATGATTCTCTAATCACTATTAAAAGCAAAGGAAATAATTAACTAGAAATCCTGTCCAGATGTCAAAGTTCCTTATAATCTGATTCTCTAAACACTATTATTAATTAGCAAGGAAATAATTAACTAGAAAAAAGGACACAAGAAACATTACCTGATTGTTCTCCGCATCCTCCATCCAGTTTTGTCCAGGAAAATTCTTACCCATAAACCTCGCCATGGCCTGCATTTGTTTGTTCACCACCGTTACCTCTTCTTTCAAAGTACTCACGTCCTCACCTGAATGACCAGCCTGACACGAAGAAGATGCAGCCCCCTGCGAGCACACTCCGAAAAACGTGGTTCGAGCTGGTCCTAACCCCATGCATCGAAGTCTCCCATTATGCTCTGGACCGGCTAGATTTTGAAAACTTCCTCCATAGAGCCCTCCATCTTATTGGCCTTATCCTTTATAAATTAACAATCAAGAGGGAAAAAATAATAAGTAGCCAGAAATGATGATCATAATTACTCAAAATTATGATGATGGTGCAGGGGCCAAACAAATTATGTCTAGGAATCAGAATGCAGCGTTGTAAATTATTAGAATTAAGGAAGAGTATTGGCATTCCCATGAAATCAGTTTGTCACTGTGTGGTGAAGCTTCTTCTTAGCATTGTCACTGTTTGCTTTACTCATTTTCTGGAAAAGTAAATCAGTTTTCATCATGTGTATCTAAACTAAGACATATTATGCATAAAATCATGGATATCCAATTTTACTGCAGAAGCATACACCCTGTATAAATTTTCCCAAAAATCATCCTTAAACCCCGAGCAGATTAGAAAACTCAGAACCAAAAACAGTCAGACATAATTGACTAGGAGAAAAGACAATGAGACATTACCTGATTGTTTTCAGCATCTTCCATCCAGTTTTCTCTGGGAAAGTGCCTACTGACGAACCTCGCCATGGCCTACATGTGTTTCTTCACCTCCATTAACTCCTCTTTCAAAGCAGTCGCATCCTCACATAAATGACCAGCCGAACAAGATACACATGCAGCCCTTGCCTGATTTTAACCTCTGTAAGCATTAACATATTCGAACTTGGACTACATTTAAACAGCATATTCAACTTCCATACATCTTGCACCCTCCTCTTTCCTCGTGTTTACTGGTTTCCGCCAATTTCCCCTGGCACCAAATGGCAAATTAACTATTGTACCTTATGAAATCAACAAAATGTAACACTTCAAACCTTTCCAATATCTGCCAAAACCATTGCACGACATGGAGCATCATAGTGCGGAAGGAAAAATCATATACAAGTGCACCAACCTGGTAAAGCTCACTGAATTGTTTGGTACCCATCAGACCAAGTTTTCATGGAGAATAATATACATACAGAACTAACCAAATCACTAACTATATGTACAGAAAAACAGTTCATGTAATAAAGTGCAAATGGCAGTAATGAAATGAAAAGAGACTGATGATACATATAGTAGCTATGCTAACAGACCCTTCCTCATGTTGAGACGATGGACGTCTATGCTGAAAACCCTCTTGAGCGTCAGATTCAGTAACGATTCTCAAATTTCTTAGATTCCTTCAACTTTAAACCATCTGCAGTCATGAAAATAACAGCATGAAGACAAATTACGATATAATCAATGGGTATATACCACCGCAAACCAATGATTTACTATTGATTTTCACCTCTGGATTTTTAATACAAGACAGAGTAGAAAAAAGTAGAAATAGTAGAGTTGGTCGCATTTAACTAAGTTGATTTTCATCTCTGCAAACCAATGATTTTCATCTTTGGAAGATAGTCTGCAGCTAGCTAGCTGTTTATATAATCGACAGAAGAGGAGGAGTATTATCTTATGATACATTTAAATAAGTTGATTATCTCATCCATAAGTAGACTAAGAAGCAAAGAAAGTGACACAGCAATTATCTAAGTATGCTGAACCAAATCCCAACAGATGCATCCATCCATTACTATACAGCAAACAACTACCTCCAGAAATTCATAAAGGCAACTCCACAAGTACCACGAGTGGAGCTAAGATATAGACATATATAGGAAATGGATCTAAAATTGAAATAAGCTATCCATACATCTCTTAAATAGTTTTTGCAGTCTAAAGTAAGCAAAGTCTACAAATCCTAAGAAATTCAATCTGTAACCTAACTAACATGACCTCGCTCGCGCCGTTGCGCTAGAGAGGGAGAGCGCAAATGAGGACAGCGGGAGCGCGCTAACAAAGGAACAAGATGGAGAGACTGAAAACCTAGTTCCTGCTTTTCTCATTCATCAAATCCGCCTCTTATAGGCTTAGCAACATACAAACAGACAAGCTTCCATGGACATTGTTTGGTAGCTTGGAAAGGGAACCAAGTCTGACTTGGAGTAAAAAAAGTACAGCTTAAAGAAGAAAGAGGGAAACGGCACCGCATCGTCTCCGTCTTCAGTGGAAAAGCATAAAACGGCAGCGGAGCAACTGGATCTTCATCAGTGATGGTAAACGACAACGCAACGTCATTTCTTCTGTGACGAGGACAAAACGACGATGGAGAAGCAGATGACCGTTGAAATTTGATTTCACTCTGTTAACCCCCCCCCCCCCTGCGCAAGCTGGTGGGCAGAGATTTCGCACACCAAGCTTGGAGAGCAAGGATAGAAATGGTGCAAGTGAGAGTGGTTTGGTAAAGAGATCTGCCAATTGATGTGCTGAGGAGATGTGCAAGAGGTTGAGTGTTCCCAATTGGATCTTTTCCCTGGCAAAGTGGCAGTCGAGTTCGATATGCTTTGTTCTCTCATGGAAGGTGAGATTCTTTGCAATGTGGATGGCGCTCTGATTGTCACAATACAAGGATGCTGGTGTTGAGGAAGGAACCTGGAAGTCTTGTAGAAGGTACTGCAACCATTGGATTTCACAAGCAGTGAAGGCAAGAGCTCGATACTCTGCCTCGCAAGAGGATCGTGAGACGGTATGTTGTTTTTTGCTTTTCCATGAGATGAGTGAATCAACCAAATAGATGCAGAACCCAATTGTGGATCGTCTTGTATCCACACAGGCTGCCCAATCAGAATCTGTGAATGCTTTAAGATGAAAAGAAGCTAAGGAAGGGAAGAAAAGACCTGTAGCTGGTGCTGTTTTCAGGTACCTCAATACTCGAAAAGCATCATTGCAATGAGTGAGGGATGGGTTGGACATGTACTGACTTAGTTGCTGTGTAGCAAAACTAATGTCATTGCCTCCCAAAACCAGGTCATCAACATAGATGAGAATGCAAGTGTAAGTAGTGTCTGTGACTTTGAAGAAGAGTGAGTGATCTGCTTTGCTTTGCACATAGCCAAACTGTATGAGTTTGTAAGTGAGCTAGGAGAACCATTGTCTTGATGCCTGTTTTAGGCCATAGAGAGACTTTCTTAGCCTGCAAACTAGATTGGGAATGCCAGGAGGAGGTGAGAATCCTTTAGGCAATGTCATGTAGACTTCTTCTTCTAAGTCACTATTTAGAAATGCATTATCTACATCCAACTGGTGAATGTGCCAATTTCTGAGGGCAGCAATGGCTAGAAAAGTTCTGACAGTAGTCATCTTGATTACAGGAGCAAATGTATCCTGAAAATCAATTCCTTCCTGCTGTGTATTTCCTTTTGCAACCAACCTAGCTTTACGTCTTTCCAGAGAACCATCAGATAAAAACTTGTCTTTGT